ATTCAACGTTGTATCATTTTGTGATTACAACATATTGTTTGAGAAAATAACTTTAAAATAATAACTTTTAAATGTTTCAAAGCACAAATTTAACATTATAAATTAGTGAAAATATACTCAAAATGCTTCTTTTCAGTAATTTATTTGTAATTCACTTGAAATTAAGTTTGTTGACAAATAGTTGCAATTTATACCACTGAAAAGCGATAAGTTCACCCTTATTCGCATTGCGAAGAACAGGTTGAATGCATGCAACTGCAAACTGCTTTATCATTATCAGTACTATTATCATAATTATTACTCTGATCAGTACCGCAAGTAGTAATGCTGTAATTTCAACTTTTTTCACGATAAACAATGGATGTATGAGTGAGTGGTCAAAAAAACTTCTCACTACTCGACTTTTTTCACTTTTCCAGCAATTTTCAATTTCTTTTTGCCAAACTTGAACTTTAACAGTAGTTATTTAGTTGTGCGAGCTTTCAGTAATAGCAAAATATTATTTTCAGTCTATTTATAAGGCCAGTTTTTTCTTTTTTTACTTCTGATTTTGCAAATAAAATAGAGCTCAAATGATGTTATTCGTTTCTTTACTTGCACGTTTGTTTTCATTCTGGAATTAAAGCTGAAAAGAAGCAATGAGAATGAAATTAGTGTGGAAACTAAAAGCAGGTAAATAAGTAAGTAACTGGCCAAACGATGATGTCACTGGACTAAGAATGCGTAGGTGGTAGGCGGTCTAGGGCTAGCCAGGCAGAGCTGAGCCTGCTAGGCCTTAGCATAATACTATCATAAAATTTATGCCTATCTACAAGCGTTAATGTTGTTTTTCTCTTTAGCCCTTTCTAAAAAACCGGAAAAAGCCTTTTAAATTGATTCTATCCTTATCAAGTAAGTACTAATGGTAAGTAAACGAATAAGTCGTTACACAAGAAGTACGTACGTGAGTAAGTAAATAGTCTATTACTTAAATACGTAATCAGTAAGCGTATTATTCAATGGAGAAAAGAAGTAACCGGTTAATTTTCTATTCAACAAACAGGTCAATAATTTTATTGTGACTGATATAATAGAGTGAAATTTTCATATAAGTCAGAAGTTGTTTCAGTTCATTAAGAAACACCTATTTTATCATTGCTTTACTTGCTCTTAATTCTTGATATCACTTTCTTATTTGCTTAATTTCAATTTCAGAGTAAACAAGTTATTTTGTTCTTATAAAGATGGAATGTTGAGTATCGAATTTATTGTTGAAAATGCTAGAAAACAAGGTTGTACTCTTCAAGCTTCCAGCAAGTTATCGTAATAACAGAGTGAAGTTCTGATTTGAATTTCTGAGGATAAATTAATATTAATTTGTCATGGCTATATTTACAAACGGGATTAATTAATCAGCTGACCTTGAATGCTAACTTCATCTTAAGATTGAAACTACTTGATTAGCTTAGTTGCTCCGAATTTAAACTATGATTAGCTAAGTTTAACATCATTTTTAAGCATGACTGAGTAATTTTTCGAACAAAAAGCGTGAGAGAAATTAAAAATTAACATTTTCGTGTTTTCTGCTCAGAAATTAATTTAATTATAAAAACTTTTTCTTAGCCCATTTTCAGCTTACAACTAGTCGATTCTATTTGCATTTCCGAAATAACTTTTTTCAGAGTTTTAGTATCTGGTTAAACTTATTCTAATGCGACAGGTTATGCTTTGCGACATACTTTGATGAATTTCAAAAGTTAATCTGATTTCAAGACGAAAATGCATTCTGTTTGAGTTGAAAGATATTTTGATTAATGTAAAGTGACTAATATACACTTATCACATCCTAGTTCTTTTCTAGTTATCTCTAAATATTAAAGCTGAATTTGCAAGATATTCTGCAAGAACTTATCTCATAATTTAATAAAAAACAGAAAAGTTTATTTGTAAGTAATGTCGTAAGCTAAGGCATTTTCAAGTTACTTTATTGTTTAATATGTGACATTTTTACTTGAGCTCTCATTTTTCTTGCAGTTGACTGCTCAAGTAAGAATGCATGTTACGAATGTGGATTTGTAAAGGTGAACTCTGGGATTAATTTGGCAACAATTTCAGTTTGTCATTAATTGCATTTGAATAAGATAATATTACAATTTCAGTCTGAACTTGAGGTAAAATGGAAAGTAACCTTAGGTAGTCTAGAAAAAATGTATAACTTGTTACACATCATCACTTTTTTTGAACTTTAGACTGGAATGTGAAGTACAGAATAGTTTTCATCTGGAGACGAATTCGGAAAGATATTATCTACTTGCTAAATTAGAATCACAAGAGTTGCTAATGTTTTATGAGCGAACTTAAGTCTTGTAAAATACAAATAATGTAAAAGAATGGTTTCGATCACATGAAAAAGTTGACGCAATCTGCTTATCGTAATAACGTCAGTAAACCTTATGATTTGAATAGATACATAAGTTGATAAAGTAAACAAAAGCCAGAACATAAGGCTATGATAACATAGGCAAATATTTCTGATTTTTTTTATTTGACAAGAAAAAATTTAGCAAGTGTTGATCTATTTGAAAAGTCAGTCGTAAAGTAGCCAGTCATGTAGTTGTGAAAGCGTAGTATGAAATCAATCAGTATAAGTTAAGGTGATGTGGTAACAGCCTAGATTCGCTTAGCCTGGCCTAGTTCAACTTGACTTCAATGACGGCTAGCTAAAAATAAAAGATTAGTATTTAAATGCCTTATCATATATTACGCTTATTGAGGACTAATCGCTCGAAATAGTTTGTGATTTTTTTCAAGATGTCATAAAAGCTTCATTTCATGATCATTATAGTTATCATTACAGATTTATTTTTTGATTTTTTATAAGTTAAAGAAGCGTTACTTTTTGAACATCAAAAGGTCAATTTTTATTTTTGCAATTGAAAATTAAATTTTTTTCTAGAAGAAAGAACAAATGTTCGTTAGCGCTTCTTGATTGAAATAATCATCCATTGAATCTACATTAGAACAGCAATCAAAACTTCCCTGTCACAATCTATTTTTCACTTTTTTCTCACAAAATTTTTAATATGCGTTAAATTTCAATTATTATAAAAGTTAATCTTTGTTCTACATCAGCATAATACTATTGTTGTTCATATCAACACTTTCATCAGAATTTTGTTTCACTTTTCTCTACCATTTCATCCATTGTTGCCAATTCCTCTGCATATTATAATTAAAAATTTTTCTGCTTTTATAATTATAACAGAAAATTGAACGATTCAATTGAAAATATTTATTGTATTTTCATTATTGCAGAAGCCATCAAAGACAAACTAGCCTTCATTCTGCTAACATGACATATTTTCTGCATTTAATTGTTATTAATTCGAAAATTTGCATAAATTTGTCATCTTGACTATATTTAAGTAAAAGCATTTATGATTTGCAGCACAACCCATTATCGAGTGTGTCTTGTTCAAAAATGACTACGGAATGTAGTTCTCAGATCTATTCATTAGCAAGCACGGCAGAGTTGACATTTTTACAAGTATGCAAATTGTCAATCATTTTTCATCCTTACTTTATTTATTGATTAAAATGATTCTATCTGTAATATTTTACTACATTTAAGTAAGTAATTTTTGCAATGACATTTGTTAATTATTATTAAAAGTACTAATTTTTCTTAATTTAAATGATATCATAGACATTGGGCAGATTATATTTAAATTTAAAAATTAAAACGATCATTGATTTTGGCATGAAATATAAATGATATGGTCGTTGTTTGCGTGCTAAGAAACAATTTTCCTTTGCCAAACTATTTCTCGCTGAAGTTTCATTCTCGAATAAAATGGTTGAAATGAAACGGAAGGTTTAATCACTTCTACGATAAATTTCTGTTTAATGTTCGTAATTTCTTACTCTCCCATTTACATAGCAAATTTAGTTTGAATGTTTAAAAAATATCAGTAATTAGAGTATGTTGCTGAGACTATAATTCTTTGGATTTTAGGTGGAACGATTACGTTCCGTGCTTAATGAGCAAGTAGAAATTCATGGAAGAGGTAATTTTCCAACGCTAAGCGTACGTTTACATGATTTAATTGTATGTGTGCGTGACAGCTTACGTGCAGCTGGTATTGGACCGAAAAACGTGAAAATGAATGGTGGAGCTGCATCATATGTTGTAGCAACAGAGGAATTTGCATATTCAGATCTCGACTTGATATTTCCAATGAGTTTTGAAAGCGAACAAAGTTTTGATAGCGTTTGTTTTTATCTATTATTTTTTAGTATATGTAAAAAATCAATAAAAAGATGGTTAAATATTTTAATGTCTTATTGCATTTTCATAAAGGCTAATTTATTAAAAATCCGAACTGCAAAAACATAGATTTGTAACCTTAACACTTTTGCAAGATAATATTCTGATTAAATGAATTTAATGAATGAATGTGAAAAAGTCAGCAGTTATTAAAAGGACAAATTTAAATATCATAAAAGCAATATGCCTACGAAAGTTAAATAGTAATGGCAAATTTGGTTTAAAACGAATAATTTAGTCCATAACTTTTCATTACAGACAAAAATGTATAACGATAGAAGAAAAATTTTTATTTTTTACTATTATCATAAATTATATAAATAATAGAAATCACTACTGACACGCTTTCAGTTTTTATATCAATGTTTTAGTCAAACATCTATAGTGACTCAGTGAAAATGTACTGACAACTTCAGGTTAGGTCAGCTGTTTTTGATGCTCTGGTACAATTGATGCCAGAATCAACAAACAAAGAGAAAATATCAGCAGAAACGTTAAAGGATATTTACATTCGTAAAATGGTTAAAGTCTCAGATGGCGACCGCTGGTCGCTGTTCTCGTTACACAACGATTTTGGGCGATGCATTGAACTCAAGTTCGTTGATCGTATGAGACGTCAGTTTGAATTTAGTGTTGACAGTTTTCAAATCAATCTGGATGTGCTACTTGATCAACCTGATCATCCAAATCCAGTCATCACAGCTGAAAGTATGTTTGGCGACATCAATAAGGTACTCGTATTGTTACTATTTTGCATTTTTTACTTTTCGATAATATTAATGATTAAAGTGACAATGCCTGCATTACTCATATATTATTTTATATTCTTAACTCTATACAAGAATTATGTTGTAATCTGTGAAAATTATTAGATTGAACATTGAGAATTTCAATGTCACTTGAAGCAAGCAATGTCAAATTGACAAAAGCACTTTTGAATATCCACCAAAATTAGCTTAATTTAGTTTAGTTTTGTTTAGCATGTTATCACGCTTGTTTTAGATATGTAAATGAAATAATGGTGTGGGTAATAATAATAATGATAATATTTGATACAATTATCTCTCAAAATTGTGTATTCAGTACTGCTAAAAGCGAACATTAATACTTACAAGCTGAAACAAAGATCTGCTCGGTTAATATCTAAGCATTTCACTCTGTTTTGATTAAAAAGCACTGAAATAATTTTTATTGTTTGTAAATGGAAAATCAGCTTCCAAAAATAATTATTTGACTACAAAATAATGAAGATGGAAAATCAATAACAACATTAAAAATAGCAGAAGAAAAAATAAAACAATTTAGTATAGATATTAAATTATTGCTTTTGCCCTTATTTTAATAATTTTAATGACCTAAATATCAAGAGTGTTGTTAATAATTTGTAGCATTATTAGTGTTAAGAGTATGTGATCATTTCAGCTGCAAAATTCAGCCACTTATTTTAATGAAGTGAAAAGTAATGAAAAATATGAAGTGATTTTGAGGCAAGCATTGGAATCAACACATTTAATCATTTCCGTAAAAATTAATAAGATATGAAATTCGAGTATGAAAGTAGATCATATCTGTGTCATAAACAAAAAATTTTCTAAAATTGTTCGCAGTATTTAACATTTACAACAACATTAATAGAAATAAAATGTTAAGTGCTGCTGAAAAAATAAAATATTACAAATGGAGATGATATTGATAATGATTTAACTATCGGGACATTATAGGCTTTGCAACATCTGAACGAACGGCTAATTGATACTCGAAGGCCTGAGGAAATTCGAGGTGGAGGCTTACTCAAGTACTGTCACTTGTTGACACGAGGTTACAAGGCAGCTCGACCAAACAAATGTCGCCTGCTTGAACGTTACATGTGTTCACGTTTTTTTATTGATTTCCCGGAAGTTAGCACTCAAGAAGTTAAGCTCCGAGCCTATCTTGACAACCACTGTGGTAATGAAGATCAGGTCAGTATGCTGCTACTTTGTTCAATTCTCGTAACAATGTTATGAATATAAAAGCTTTCATTAATCATATCCATTTTTCTCCATTTTCTAAAGAAGGATACTTTAATATTAGCATGAACTCAAATGATTATAACAGCATTCATATCAAACTTTTTTTTCCATTTCTACTGCAAGAAGAATTTATTGCTAAGAGAATGAAAAAGCTTTAATTAGCTGTTTTTACGTTGGAATCTGTGTTAAAAATTTTGCCAGTAATTTAAAATCTATAAATAAAAATGAATTTTTTCCTTTTGAAAAGATAATGCAAATTATCTCAATTAAAAGTATTTGTAACATTTAATTTCAGATATTGAAAAGAAAATTTATATGATTTTATAGTAATCATTATATATGAATATTTATTCTGAAATTAATTACATTCTAGGCAAAATATGACTACCTTTTGTTACTTTATCGAGTTATTAGCGAGAGTACGGTGTGCTTGATGTCGCATGAACGACGGCAAACCTTAGCAATGGTTGATAGGCTGGCATATCAGTTATCAGTGAATATGTATTATCAGCAAAGTTGTGTCAGTGGCTACTGTGGACACACACCTCGTCAAACTTTACTATATTTGCCGGCAAATGCTTCATATTGGATACCTGTTGTATAAAGATGAACGAAAACAAAGAAGCTTCTTAGTCAGATCGGATATGATAATTTTTGGTTCATATGATCAAGCGTAAGATTTTGTAATTACTTCATTTATCTTTGTAACTTTTTCATTAGAAAATTGTAGAAAATTGTCGCTTTATTAGTCAAATTAGGCAAAATTTGGAATAAATTTTCGTGAAATTCAATTGCGATTTGGAATTTCGTTTTGAAAAAATTCGAAATTTCTGAATAAAAATTATGCAGAATTTAGAAATAATCAAATAAATGTATCATTTGATAAGATTATTTTGACATATAATGGAGAAATAATTGACGCGATAGTTTTCAATTATTAGTACTGATTGATATGTAAATGTAAAAATTAGCTTTATTTATTCATTTATTTTGTTAAATGTCTTTTTCTAGTCAACAACTTTCCCAATGCAAAAAAAAGAATCGAAAATTTTTTAGCTTGACGCAAAATTTTTGATACTAAAATAAATATTTTTCATTCTGTTGAAAATAAATTTGATCATTATTTTTATTTATGCTTTTGAAACTATATTTTCTAACAAAATTTTGTTTTCAAGTTAATTTATTGTAATTATCAATTTTTTATTGCCGTCATTATTTGCGTTTTTTAAATATTGTTCATATCATTCCCAAATCAGGCCTTTACACTTTTTAAAATAAAGTTGAATAAGATGGCATTTTGATTAGTTGACAATTTGTAAATTTTAAATTAACGAAAATGTCAAAAAAGCCTAAAAACTTGCTGCATTTGTCTTCATTTGCAAAAGTTTGCTCTAATCTCTCTCAATGAATGCATGTATTAATCAATTTCCACAATTAAACAGAACTCCCAAAAGTAAACTTCATCAATTTAAATAACTATTGCTATAATTACTGTAGCAAAATAGTCATACAGCGGTAATACTTCCACTTGAGGAATAGCGATTATTTTCAAAAAATGGCCTCTATCAGACATTTCTTCTTACTACTGCTTCAGCTTGAGCTAAACCATTGTTCCAGCTGTCTAATCAGGTCTGTTTTTACTATCTTTTTCTCAATTAACAAATACTCTATCAAAAAAACATTGTATCCAACCGAACTATTTCCGTCTTTTTGATCACACTGTGCTTAATTAAAAACGTAACCTGTATTACATGCTTCATTGTCGACTTTAGTTTGTTGCTATACTTAGATCTCAGTAATAACGACTTTTTTCATGCGTCAGAAGTAACGACTAGAATACTTCATTGATCTATCTATCTTTAGATTCTTAGCATTAGATGATTACGTCTCCTATAATAACTACAAGTATAATTGATATTTGTTTATAATAACTTCATTTGATTATTCAAATTTATTGCCTTTGCTAGAAACGGCTATGAAGTGCCTGTTTTCTTTATTTTCTCTAAACATTCTTCAACCTAAAATAGTTACTGAGTGAAATTTCAATCGAAGCAAAGTTTATATCTCGCTTTTACGTCGTTTTTGCTCATTGCAAACAAAACTCTTGCACCACAATAAGATCAAATAGTTGATGTTTACAGTATTATATAGCAAATTATGTAGAAGACGTAACTGCATCCTTTTGTCAAAAATCACTTTTCACCTCTGTCATTTTTCAAAAAAAAAAATTAGATTCAAGCCCTCAAAGCAACTTACAGAGTAAGTAATAAACCAATTAAGTGATTATCACTGATCTTTTACAGTGACTTCGGACAATTCAAAGATTACAATTTTTTTTCAATCCCATTTTTCGTTAAATTATTGTCGTAACGGCATACCTTCTTCATGGGAAATGATTTTATGTATTTTTTCATTTTGTGCGAATTATGTTTTTATTACCAGACTACCAACTTTTCACGACAAAATGGTAATAAAATCACCAAAATACAAAAGATGTCATAAGCAGTTGTCAGTATTGTGCATACATTTAAAAAAAAGTTGCAGTGATGTAAATTAGTATTATCATTATATCAACTTGGTCATAACTGATGCAAATGTAATTACAGATAGTTTTTCCCTAGCATGAAAATGGATGAATTTATATGTGTCCATACATGTTTCTTTTGTACATTTGAATTATTTCCTCTATTTAGCACTGAAAATATATCTCAGTGACGAACTCTTGTCGTAAATTCTTTTCTTTTCTTTTCTGTACATTCATTTTCGAGTGAATTTAATTAGCAAAATTCTCAATAAATACACTCGGGGAGTACTTCTTCGAATGCATTTATTTCAGATATCTAAATAACTTTTTGCATTTCGAACCATAAAAAATGTTTTGACTATTAAGATCTTGCAAATAGCAACTGTTATGCTTTTAATTATCACTGCATATGATTCGAAGAGTTTCATTGTTTCCAAATTATTTTGTTTCAAAATAGCAATAAATTAAATCAGTACTGAGATAATTGATCTTCAAAACAATTTCCATGACAGCAATTTTCACTTTATTATATTTTAGCCTCTCGTTGTACTTGCTTTAAACTCAATTATCCTCGTGAAATTCACGGAGAAAATTGTATAAGAATCTTTCGAGCGTCTTCTAGAGCAACATCGCTCTGATTATATGCCTCGATATGATCAGATATACTGATGTGGTTTGCGCAGCGTTTGTGGAAGTTCTTTACTATCTTATTCCTTATCATGACATACGAAATTCTTTTCCTTCTTCGTTTCATCTTTGTCCGTTCAAACTAGTGATGCCAACCTCTATCAAGAGTACTTCATGCCGCTTCTTACTCTGTATGATTTATAGTTTCTACTGTGCATACCGACTTATATCTCCACGTTTTTATTTGTAAAGATATGCTGAACGGAATGGCTTTTCATATTTGGAATGTACACCGTACTTTTGCAGAGTCCCAGTTGGGTATATCGCACCAACTCATTATGCCTTCTATAATAGTCATGTTACACCATTTACTAGCATTGTGTCAGATAATCGACCGCCTTTCTTGACATGCTCAATGACCGATTCTCTACGACTTCAAGCATAGTTCTTCTTGAAGGTGACAGTATCGAGGGCTCGTCTCGTGAAGTATTACTTGCGTGTCGCCGCCACATTGATGAACCGGTCAATGAAGAAAACTCATTATTTCTCATTTTGTTTAGTTTCAATCGACGAATTTCCTTTTTTTTTTTCGTTTTTATTTTGCTCTACAAATATATATACATGAATTATGTAAAGTCTGCTGACAGAATATAATCAAAGTAAAGCAGGCCTGCCTGAGCCTCAGTTGATGTGGATGACGTGGAGTTAAAGAAATAAGCTGAACGCATCAGTAGCAAGAAAAAAAAACTTCCTTTGTTAATAAATTTATTCACTTTCCAAGGAGAAAATTGATGCAACAAAATTCACAGCATAAATCCGTGAAAAATTAGGTACATAGATTAGATAAGGGACAAATCCAAACGTCGATAACTAAAGCAAAACAAAATAAAGTAAAATTAAAAGACTGACGTGAATTGACATCATCAAGCTTAAATTAGTTCTAAAAAGAGTTACTACATTTCTTTTTAATCACTGTTTTCGAACACTAAACTCAGCAATAGCGCCTACTATTTATTGAAAACAAGTGAACCCTTCCGTATAAAAGATACTTTTTGATTAATGTGAAATTTTCAAGAAGAAAGAAAATTAAACTTATGGAGAAATAATATATTTGCATATATTTATTTTCTGCACTTAACTTTTGAAGATTATCTCGTTTTACTTTTTGAATGAATATATATGATAATTAAAAATGAAAGTGTTTCAGATGCAATTTTTTTTGCGGAAATTGCGTCAGCAATGAATTCATTCAGGTCAGGGGATCCATTTAATATAGACAGTTTGAGAATTGCTCCTAGAATAAGTACATTATGACGTCAAAGCACTGAATAAGTCGATAAGTAGAACAGAGAGAAGAAGTATTGCAATTATTTGCGTTAAGCGATAAATTCATGCTTAATTTTAGTAAGTACAATTTAATTTGCATATTTTTTTGTTAATTTGTTGTAACTATATTTAAATAAATCGATGATAATCACAATATAGAAATCAAATTGTATTTAAATGAAACTCTGCAAAAATGAATCACGCAGCAACTCAATTTTGTTGGATTTCATATTGGGAAATTTTTTTCAAACCACTGACGTATGTAACGCAATGAAATTCGAAGGGTACGCAAATGAAGTTAATGATGCAAAAAAATGAAGAATACATCTGGCTCCGCTAATTACTTCACGCTATTTTACGCCACTTGTCTTTACAACTTTATTCAGTACTTATTAGAGTCAAAACAAGCCCGAAGTGAAATCGAGTAGAATTGTGTGCATAGGTTAATTTGGATGGAAATTACGACCAGATTTTTAATTCAGCACATAGACTCATTTACTTTTGTTTTCTTCAATGAACACACTGAGATCCAGAAAGTGTCACAATTAAGTCTGCTAAAATCAAGAATGGCAAAAATGCAAAAAGTAATTATGAATGAATGGCAAGATGAAAATATTGTCAGTCAGTGGCTCAAGTCATAAACAAGCTGAATACAAATACATCACGCGCTAAAGAATTTAATTAAATAAATGTAAAGGTTAACTGAACACAAAAATCCCATCAAACTAAATTAAATATGGAGTAAGTCCCTTGCATTTTTATCATACTTCTACTATGAAAAAAATTCTGCCAAACAATTGCTAACTGAGAAGCAGTTAATTAGACGGTGTTAATGAAGTCATTAGATGTACGCAATGTTCAAATTAAGCTTATAAATCTTTACAGCTATAAGGTTTTGTGTGCTCACGGTTGTGACACTAATTAACACTTCACAAGCAATTTTTTGCTTACTATATAGAGTATATTAAAATAGATGAGCTGTGCAGAAAAAACAAATTTTATTTTTTGAAACAGCAAAAACATAACAGAAAAGTAATATTACAAAAGTTTGTATCTTACATGAAATTAAACAAGATGAAATGCACAAAAAATAGAACAGTACTTTCAGCTTTAAATTAGAAATATAAAAGTGATAAAAAATTACCGGTAATAAATAAAAAGTCCAGCATAACAGAACTGAAGAAAAACAGCATTCACAATGGAACTTCAAATTTTCACTCGCAGCGGGAACCATATTTTAAATTTGTATTTTATTAATTAAAAAAATCATTTTTTTCCCCCACGAAATTTCTAAATAATTATTACATACTTCGACTTTTATTCATATTTTGCTAACTATGAGAGTATTTCAATATAATATTGGGTCTGACATTAACAAAAACATAAAATTTACGAATCAGATTGTATTTGCTTCCGGAAACATAACAATAACTGTTAGAACTTCACAACTTTTTTGATCGCTTCGACAATGCGCCATTTGGTTGGTAGATAAAACGGCTCAAAAATGTAAGGAAATGGCATATCCCAGCCACAAACACGTTCAATTGGCGCTTCCAAATTCAAAAAACATTCTTCCTGAAATTTTGAAAGAATTCTCTAGACGAACATATCATTCACAGATAAAGTTGAAATTATATGCTTTAATTCATTAAATGCAATACTTTTTTATTGACGTGAAAAAAACCAATTTTAATTCTTAGCCATCACATTTGCAAACTCAAAATTAATTCTTTTCTTTTCATTTTACAGCCTCACCTGTATTTTCGATGATATTTCGGCAGCAAAGCCAGATGTTATCGGTGCTTCATGAGTTATTATAAGGCGACCTGTTCTAGAAACACTCTGAAAGTTTCAAACATTAAGTGCATACTTGTAAATTCAAAACTTCGCAAATCTAAATTGAAGAAATTTTGTTGGAATCAGTAGATTTTCTCAATCTAAATCTCATTTCTTACTAATAACAGCAAGCATTCATATGAATAAAGTTAGGCTACTTGGTTAATTAACCTTCACACTAGTAAATAAAATAAAATAACCTTTGCAACTGTTTCAAAATCCCATGGTAATAACGTCCTCAAATCTATCACTTCACAAGTAATGCCATTATTTTGCAGTTCCACAATATTAGCAGCTTCATGAGCAACATGCAACTGAGCTCCCCAACCAACAATTGTGACATTTTCACCTGGAATTACTAATAATTAAGCGCCCAACTTTTAAAAACTTCAAAAACAAAGTATTCAACTTTTATGAACTTAAAAAATTTATCCTTTTCAGCTCAACATCATATAACTAAATTGTTTAATTCTCACTTTAAATGGGGGATCAACGAAAACGTTGATACAAAGCTAACTCAAAGACTAATTGAATAATAACTATAAGTTTTGAAGGGATGCATCCGAAACCTTTTTTTACAATTTCGGCCTTTCCAATTTCAATCTCGTAATCCGCTATTGGAACATCTTCTGTTGCTGCACGATAGAGTTTTTTTGGCTCGAAAAATATACATGGGTCATCACGTCGAATGCAAGCCAAAAATAAACCTTTCGCTTGCAAGGGTCCACGTGGAATTACTATCTAAACTTTGCTTCTAACTTTTTCATTCCATTTTTCACATTTCAGCAAAAATAATGTGTTGCAGAAGTTGATATCATGTAAAGTCGATATAAAGTTGACACACACAATTTCTGGCAAATAACTGATACCGTTATTCCCGAAGTATGAGTGAAATAGCCTTCAGGACTCTGAGAATGATACAAACCGCCATGTCCTACAGCACCGCAAGGCGATCGTATTTTCAGTTTACCACAATTATATAAGTTCCCACTACGATACCGATATTTCGCAGCTTCATTCACAATCTGAAAGTATAGTATCGAAGTAAAGGCAATCCTGATAGGTTGGCATCACTAGTCAGGATAGACTGACAGCAGTCGAGACCGAGAAAAAGCAAAAATATAGTCCACTGGCTAATAAACTCGGGTCAGAGATGAAATGTCGGACGAAAATAATTTCGTATGTGATGATGTCTTAAAATCTGTTGTTGTAGAATCGTGTTTCATCTCATTAATTTTGATATTTTCAAATAGATCAAAAGAAACCAAGTCAATGTAATCTATAATTTACATTTTCAAGTCAAGGATCAATCACCTGATCAAATGCTGGAAATATGTAGTCACTAAACTGTATTTCCGCAATAGCTGTTGAACCAGCAACCGCTAAGCCAATTCCAAAGCCCACTATTCCCTGCTCACTTATAGGCGTATTAAAAACGCGATCCTTGCCTATTAATGATCATAAATTAAATTTGCTCACTATTAATTAGTAAATTTGAACAACTTTTTTATTAAAATATATGCATAAAACAATTAAATCAGCACTACATTTATATGAAACTTATTCCAACAATGCAGTGGATGAAAAGCCTTTTGGAACTCTTCTACTCTAAGTTCATTTCAGTTCACAGCATTAATTTGTATAAACATAAACAACCTATTACTAGAGCCATACTGATCCTTCTCAATGACTTAATAAATTTCCTTAATGATTACTAGCTTTATTTACGAGGTGTAATTTAGACGACTCCATCAGTTATACTTCATCATCATCCCCAATTGCAAATAATTTTCAAAAATTATTGAAGACGAAACACCACTTTTTAATGAACTGAACTGTTATTTTTATAAGGATAATGAAAATTTATATATTGGAAATCAACCATATTTTTCTTGCAATCCAACAGTACAGCGAAAAACGCCGCCAAATGCAACATCTTCTCCGAAGAGGCATGCAGCAGAATCGCTACTCATTGCGATATCCATTGCGTTATGAATCGCCTGACAAAGGTTCATTTTTCGGGTCTCACCTTAAATATTACACTTATTTTTCATAATGGTCTTTAATCTAAAAATTCATTGTTAAAAAGCTTCAAGTTCAAGTTTATAAAAATTTAACAATTTCAGCAATTGACAATGAAATGGTAGGACAGACCGGGAAATGGATTCACTTGGCTGGGAATAAATGCGACATCCGATGCACACTGCGCGAAAATCTTCCCGAAATTCCCTTTAGGCTTTAATATATTTCGCAACGTTATCATCGTGAATATCTGAAAACAACTGAGAAAATAAAAGTAGCTAGCTAAGTGGTTTGTTGATTACTGTTAATTTAAACTTAATGATTTTGAAGAGATAACTTAACACAACAACTACTTAGAGTTCAGTTTTGAGAGCAAAATTGTTCGATTCGATTACTGTGAGAATACGATCTGTGAAATTACATTCTTCCCAGTAGTTCAGTGCAAAAATAATCAGAATGTTCGATATACTCTAACAGATCAATGATCATTCTGAAAATAAAATTGAAATTATAAAATAGTAAAAATCAAAAAGCGATGATTACGATTTGAGCAAGATAGGTCTGTAATTTAATAACTTTGATGCTGAAATACTGCAAATAAGAAAGCTCGAATACTTCAAAGAAAAACAAAACAGTGAAGCGATGGTAATCACTCCTTGCACAATAAGCAAATAGGAGAATTCCGAGACACACTTTGATTTGACTTTCCTCGAGAATCAATGATGATTTCAATTAATATGCTTTTTGCATCACTGATAACGGCGTCGTCACAATGATAAAAGCAGAGGGAAAAGTGAGAAGCAAAGAGGTGAAGTTGATGACTGTAAGTAAAAACATGCTAGTATGCAACTGTACAATGTGTGAGTGTTATCTCTTCAAAATCATTAAGTTTAAACATCTATGAGTGTGTGATCTACACGTACGTATGAGTCTATCTGTATAAAAGATATATGGGCCTTCATACGTGTATGTTGTGCTTGGTAGATCATTTTATCAATATTTCATTGTTAATCTGCATACAAAGAATTTAGTCTGGAATCGTCAAATATTTATTGTTTAACGGAGTAGAGTATGGCTCTAATATGTGCAGTATTTCAAGTGTATGAAGTTCAGCATATCAGACTTTATTTTTGATACGATGTTTCCTATTTACCATATGTCTCGTAGAATTAAGGATTAAACTTTGTAAGACTAAGAAATAAATAAATCAAAACATATAAAACCTTTGTAATTTTATTCGAATCTCCTACTCTCATTGATCTTAATATTTCAACGCAGCTTTTATAAGTTGAATTTCAATCTTACGGTAATATATTTATGGGAAAGGTCATCTCTCTCGAGCAATGTCAGTAGCATGACAACCAGCAAAAAAAGAGCAAAAAAAATTCATTTGTGAAGAAAGTGTGAATGTTTGAAAAATGTACGTTTTGCGTTTGTTTAATTATATAATTTCGCACGAAATAAGGAGCAATTCATTACATTGGATGATTTTCGATAAGCACCACATGACTAGCAATTACTGATAAGATTTACTGCTTGTTCCAATATTGGTTTGCTCCAAACTTACCATAAACTAAAACTTCCAACTCAGCAAATGTAAAAATTGAGCCTACACCCATTATATCAAATGATACTTTTAAATAAGTGAAGACATTGGTGCATGAAAACCGTTGACTGAACAAATTAATTTGGTGTTTGCTTAACAAACAAATTGATACTTTCAAAGAGTAAGTAATATACATTAACTTCAATCATTGTTAAGCCCATTTTTCATCTTACACTTGCTTATATAGTATTATGACAATAGAGATGGTACCAATGATGATAAATTCAAATCATCAATATTACGATGAAGTCAAATATATACCGAGGATTATTCTACCTTTCTGTTGTCACTACTACCTCATTAAATATGCCATACCGCTCTGCCAACTGTGTTACAGCTTTGTTTATGCTTTTCGAGTAAGTTGCCTGAATAAGTAACTAAGTAAGCGCCGAGTGAAGATGCCAGGTTGTTTACACCTAACTTTCTTTCAAACTATACTTTCCTTCAGTTGTTACAACATTTTCTACTATTTCGTGCCACATTAATACTGATAACAACCATTAATGCCTCATATCACCCGGTGAATACTCAATCTTACTTGATTCAAACCTGTAAACAACTTTTACGCACTCAAAATCTGATAATATAATACTGCTTCACTGCTATTTATAAATGATGTGAAATATGAATTTGAAGTATGTTTTGTCTGCTACATTAAATAAAACCATAAAGCAGAACAAGTTCAAATTTCCAATTATAAATAATTGGAAAAGAAACACTTGCACTCAAGAATACAAGAATGCACTCAAGAATATCAAGAATAATTTAAAAATTAGAAGTGCATTCTTGATATGGATATCTAAATAATACATATGAAGCACATCCTAGAAGTCAAAATGCTTGATACTTGTAATAACAGAAAACGACTCACTTCGTTGGTAATGATAGTGAGCGCTTGAGGAATTTGCAGTATTTCCAACTTGTACCTTCGCTACCTCCAATTGTTTACTCAGCGGGTGCTGTTTAGTAATAACGAATAAATAACCATTCCTCAACAAAAAATTGCAAAGATACTTTCAAAAATATTGGCGTGATATTTCTCATTTATTATGATAATGATAAAGGTAGCAACTATCATAACTAGAAAAACTACTTGTATTTAAATCAAATGATCTTTTATCCAGTCTATGAAAAATAAAATATGAAAAAGTCTATTGACTGCGTAAATAATAAAATGTGCTTACGTAATAACTTTATTTCAAAACAAATATTTTTTTTCATATCTTTTGTAAATATCAAAAAATGCTTGTGATAAGCGTAAAATTCAAATAAAAATCATGTTCACTAATTAAAGAGCCATGTGAACATAAATTCATACAGCAAAATTGTCCAGAAGTAGAGCAAGGCAAGAAGTAGAATAAAAAAGCACGAAGTGGGAAGGCTCACAGGATACAAAAACCTCAGCATATATATAATATATATTAAATATGAAAATTAAATTAATTTTCATATTTTAGATACTAAATTTATATAAAATATATTCAAGGTACAATAAATCAATACATGTATATAAAGTTGAAGTCAAAATCATTTGCACAAAAAGATATAAAAATAAGTCATATAAGTCACTTTACCAGACGAAATTGGTTCGATTTCAGTAACTGTGAGTAGTGCAATGTGGATTTTTCTAATCATATCGACTAATGTCGAGAAGATACTTTCCATCAACTAGTAACAATAATGACCTCAGAAAACACTTTTGATTAGAGAAATCGCTTAATCTATTTTTGCTTTTCTACTTCTACGAAAAGAAATTTAATCTAACTCGAAGATTTTCCGTAGCAAAAATAATCTCCTAAATAATCATCACTAAAATTAGATAGCCTATTTGAAAATTCAATACAGCAAAGCCGATGTTTTCTAGAACAGCATTAGAATCCGTTGAGAGATTCTTCAAATGCAATTAAATAACAGAGAAATGTCACAACAGTGACTCAATCAATCTGGAAATCCCATTGATTTAAATTAAATTTCTACCGAATATAGTATTGCTTTTAGTTTTTTCTGCTTAATTTCAATACTCTCTTGTTTTAAATAACTTACATTAGCAGAAAAAAAAGGTCGAACTGTTGTATTTCTTTCGAAAATTCCATATCTATCCACAAAATGTTTCAACATACTAATTAAATATGAAGGCTACAACAACATTGACCGAAAAAATTTTTAAAAAATGCAATTATAGCGAAACTTTCAGATTTTAATTCCAATTATTACAAACATTAACAGATTTCACGATCAAAAATTTATTAACAGTAATAAAATGTTGACTTCAGTATACTTTTCACGTTTCTCCTCTCGAAGAATCTAATTCTGATTGCTGCTGCTGTTCTGAAGAGTTGCAATTCAGAATCGAGCAAGATGATAACAACTTAGGATCAAGAAGTTCGGGTTTTGAAAACAACATCAGCTGAAGCTTTGCTGTCTCGTTTTTTAATAAGACAACTTGACTTCGAAGCTGAATATTTTCCTTAAATGAGTAAATATGTAATCGTATTTACTACATGACATCATGAATATTAGAAATGATACATATTATTATTGCACTTCATACCTGTTCAAGAAATGCTGCTCTTGCTGCAACTGCTTCCTCTTTCTGACGCCTGGCATCACGCGACCTTTTAGCTGCGTCATTGTTTTTCCGTCTCCGCTCGTAGTACGCTTCATCCTAAAATAATAATGTTTATTACAAATAAGTTTACTAAATTCAGTAGCAAAATCAAAATTATTATTAAGTTCTCTATTTGCTTGTGAAAAAGGAGCCAGCAGCAACAAATCGATCATGTTTTGTGTACTATGCGTGTGCATATCGATCTGCACTCATTTGTTGAAGCACGAGGAAATCTGCGTGCCGCATAACCTCTCGCCTGTCCGATAAGAACAATGAAAAAAGACTAATGACAATTGAATGCATATAAATCTATGAGTGAATTCAAATTAGGCTAAGCTTCTAGGCGATTTTGCTTTATTTTCTTCTCAAAGTACATGCATTATGTGTGTGCTAAGTGAAATGAAGTGCTTTCATTAATAAAAGTCCCATCTGTTGTCTTTTATGATACTTGTCTTCTAAAAGTATCAAAGTCCGTACAAAATTCACATCAAATACTATCACGACAAAATACTATTCTACGTCACAGTTCAATTTTGCGTCAAATGTAATGTCATTTTTAATTTTGAAAATCAAAAATTTTGTTACACGGAAAAATAGCTTGCGTGAGTACTTACCTCAACTAAAATATATCAGTAAATTGCTCCTTGCTCACATATTGCCAAAGTCCTTAAAACTTTTTTGAGATCACTTATAATAAGCTTCAAGCTTATCTCAGTATTGTTTTTATTCATTTCTACTATCTTTTCAATCCATTTCTCACTCCAAAGTTAGCTAAAAATTTTAGTTTATTATCTAACTGACCGAATTGAAATAATCAGTTCATATTAATTTCTTTACGCAGATTCTCTCCATGTTTTTTTAATAAGATGATTTTCTAAGAATTTTCCAAATCGCTTTTATTAACGTAAACTTATTTTGCAAGAATTTTCTGACCTTTGATATACACTATATGTTATTTGCTGCAAATATGGTAACCTCTACAAATGTGGTTATGTTGCGGCTGTTGGCATACAAAATTAATTACGCACACGCTTTCAAAAGAAACAAAGTTTAACAAATTATTTATTATCATATTTTTTTTGTATGCTTAGTTTTTCTAAATTTTTTAAAAAACTTATTTCACTCTGATTGTTATGAAAGGTTCTATTATATTCAACAAGGCAAATGAGTCTATCTTAAAGTTAAAATAAGTTGAAGGTGATCAAAGCAAAATTAGAGTTAAATTTAGGAGTTACTCAAAGCAAACTAAGCATGAAGGTAAGGTAGAGGATTTTGTCGAAGCAACAGTTGCTTCATGCAAACGATTAGCAGCTTCAAGTAATCCTTATATATGACTAACTGTTGCGTATAAGATGCATAATGTCGGCTTCAGTCACAAATTGACAGCCAACAGTTGCAACCTTTGACCTTTTTTAAGTCTGCTCATAGTTGCAACCAACGACTTTCCTTTGGAGACATAAAACGGAGGCCAAAGGTCATCAGAGGATTACGAGGAGTCATCAAATCTAATGGTCAAGTAATCGACACTTCAAATTTTGATCAACTAATTATTGGTTAGTGCACTTCTTAAAAAATATCCAGTCACACGCATACATCGTTAGAGTTGAAAAAATCTTACAATTATGAGATGAATCTTTCAAGGCAGTTAAAAGTGAAGAGAAAAACCATGTTTCTCGAGAAGCAATACTTGATAGAAAAACTTGAGAGGACACGAACCTTTTTATCCTCAGGAACCGGAGCGGCTTGCTTGCGATGTATTGACTGCTGCGGACTACAGGATGATGTAACTAACGATCCACTGGAAGAGGAGTTTGAAGAGGAATTTAGAAGCATTTGTTGTTTTTCGAGGTTCACACGTTTAACAGAAGGCGGTCCAATCCCTGATCCTGTTATAATACTATTACTTGTAGTATTCGTTGTTGTTGTTGTGACTGACAGGAAAGGTGGTGGTACTATCGGTGTAGATTGAAAATTAGTATGATAAAGTTGTGAAAAAGCGAGCAAAGCTGTAGGATCAGGAACCGGGAAAGGGTTAAAGTTAAAACAGTTCGGGGTGAGGTTCGAAGGTACGCTCCGCGTAAACATTGACACTGCAGTACTTACATCTGGTGCGACTGACTTTTCACTGCTGAAAATATTTGTGAAATTTGCGAATTTTGTAGGAAAGTCCGGCAATCTTTTTTGAAAAACTATGATATCTACGAATAGATTCTTTCCATTGTACTACATTTTACAACGATAATGTGTTAATCGTAATAATTTTGAATAAAATAGCGCAGTTGTTTATTACTGCTATTGAAGAAATTATAGAAAAATAATCTTTGAAAAATCACTGACGGCTGTTAATTACAGTGTGGACAAAAGTAATCAAATTTTTGCGTTTCTGTTCGAAAAGCAAAACAAAAAGTAGTACAAATTAAAAAAGCTAAATAAAGTTACTTGGACAAAAGTTGTGAATTCTGTAGAGCGTTTAAAACATCCCTTAAGTGAACAGAAGCTTTGTCCATCATATCAATCCATATAATTTTTATAAGTGTAGCAAAAGTCAGTTAATTATTGCAAAAGGTAACCGCTTGCTCCTAAGATTAAAAACTGAATATCTGATGTAAATTTGGAGTGAAATTTTGAAAAGGATATTACTGCTTAGACGAGTTTAGTAATGAACGCAAAATGAAAGATTAGAGCAACAACTGCGGCATAAACTTACTCATTGGGTTGCTATAGGTCGTGACCGTACTTGACCCCGCCTCGGCTTGACCTCTACTGCCACACCAGTCTGTCTTTGCATCACCTTATGTCTGCATCTCTTACATCATCTCATGTCTGCGACCTGTTACACAATTCATTCACTGAAAGGTCGAGAAGGCTATATGAGGTCAATTTATATGCAAATTGCATAATGTTTATTTCAATTATAAGGGCACAAGCAAAATCGTCTCCTGCTGCTTCATTTGATGGAAATGTCATATGCATGCATGCATAATTACTTATTTGGAATAAGCGATCAACACATTGTTGTTTGCTTTTTAATTCCTTTCTTAATAATCTCCAAATATAAAGTTACAGTTTCAGTATTTATAAAATCTGCTTTTTTTAATAAAATAATTCTCTACTTTGGAATGCAAGAATAGATATAAAGTGCAGCATGGCGAGCACTGCCCGAATAAAAAATCTAAATTTTTTTTCTGATGTCAGTTACGAATTTTTCTAGTAGCTTTTATCTGTCTTCTTGATAGCCTCGAAGAGGCGCATAATTCTTGATTTCGTGAATTTTTCCTGGTTTAATCTTAAATTTGATTCTTGTATGTCTTTAAATGAACGTTTGCAATGTCATGTACAAAAGATGAGGCCTTTTTAAATAGCTTTTAAGTGCATTAACTTATAAAATTAAACTATTAATGTGCAGTAATATGCTAACTGCAAAATCATTTGTAGATGAAATTAGCACTGAGAGTTTGTGCGTCATTTTTTATTTTTTGTTGGCATTAATAAGTCACAGTTACTGCATGCCTTGTAATCAAATTAACTTACTTAATAGCACATCTAATTCAGTTTTATTGCAAAAATCTTTCAGAACAAATTTCTTTGCTTTCATGCAAATGACTTTCAATGAATGAACACTGTAAATTGAAATTTTGTAAACTTAGAAAACAAATGGAGAAGAAAACTAGTTAAGGTTTTAGTTTTGTAAGCAAAATTCTGATGGAATATATCAATGGAAAATGGCCAGTGGTAGTGGCTAATTATGCAGAGGTCACCTTTATCTGACCATTGGAATTGACGAGAGGAGAAAAGAAATAGATTAAGATTATAAGAAAATAGAGGTTGTTGTTATTGTTGTTGCTGCTTGCTTTGACCTTTCGTAATGGAAGGTCGCAAGTGGAAATGAAAGAGGCTTAAAAGTGATCGGAACTGCATAATAATACCAATTCCAGGACATTCCGCATCTGTCCACTTGCTGTTGACCTCTTTCTTCAGGCAAATATCGACATGTCGGTCACTTACCGCATCTTTTATGCAAATTAAGTGCCATTACCTCGAATGATAAACACTTTGCTGTTGCCGCATGCTATTATTATACTTTGAGTTTATTTTCTTAGACGTATCTAAAATAATTCTTTTAAAAATTTGTGTCTTCTAAATTTTTTCTCACTTCCAAAAGATTGAGGGATTTCTACTCTAACATACAATATACTGATTCACTGTAAACTCAGTACGACTTATCAAATCAGATGATTGTGCTTAATTAAGGAATCTGTTTTTTTCCCTATCACATATACGAATATTTTGCTATTTTATAACTTTAATTAAAAAGTTTGTTGTGATTATCTCATATATCTATTTTCCTATTTCTTTGAATATGTTCACGTAAAAGACTTTGTAATTCACTGCGTGTCAATTTGATGTTTTATTTTTTCGAACATTAGTGAAGAATTCATTTGTAATGAGGATGAAACTAGAAAACTGCCAGTTTTTAAATATTTCACTATAAAATGTGAATTCAAATAATTTCTTCATTCTGACTCTATGGATTTTGCAAATCGGTTTTGCTAAGCAAAAGAACAATATCTGTGCATGTAAAATTCGGATCCATTGAAACCGATGATTGATTACCTACTTACTGGCTGCCAGCCTTTGAATATTTGTGTTGAACAAAGTTGTTGGGGCATAACAATGCACCGTAATCATAGCCGTCTAGACCTTTGTTATGATGAAAGAGTCAACTCTCCAAAAGGTCTAAGAGGTCATATATAATTTTGATTTCGATATTGACCTCTTGTCTTGGCTATGTATCATTTTGGGGAGTATACCATTTGTATATACACAAACACGTATATTGAGGCATGGAACTCTTGCAATGTTTACATACTAAAGGAGACAGAAGACTGTGTTGATATAATTCTGTTTACACAATTTGTTCATTTACTGCGAATAATAAGCTTGCAAGTTCATTTTTCTCTTGCATTTGACCTTTCATAGGGAATTCAACTTTTCACTTTTAGCCTTCGAATGGTATGGATGGAATAATTAAAGCAAATATTCCTCAGATTTTTGAACTCAAAAATTTATCATTCAGAAATCTTTTTCATTTAAAAAAGCGATTCTCTTGCTGACTAATAAAATGCGAAATTCAAAAAACAAAAATTTTCAAAACCTTTAGAGACACGTAATGAAGTAACCAAAACGACACAAATACTGACTTTCTCAACGTTGGGCAAATTCTTCATGCAAAAGTTTATCATTCTGTAATATTAAAAATGGTGAAATTACTTTCAGTAATAACAGAAATTAATAATAACAAAAAATTATAATAATCGCACTAGTAGCTGTAATAACAAATGTATTATTCATTCCCAACTTCTATAACCTGAGGATTTATCTCTCTCTGACCTTGCAATTAATTTAATGATTAACCTTTGGAAAGGTTATATTTTTTGTTCTGGCATATAAAACTGTAATTATGACAATCAATCTGCACAAACGTGTATTGATTTTAAAGTCATTGATCATTTAAATTAATCTCGGTAATTAGCAAATTATTTATTGCATTTTCAAAATTAACTTGAAAGGTCATCAAAGGTCATGTTATTTCACGAAATGACTCTTCGGTAGCATGCCAGAAGTTATGATAATGGATGGAATAGTCAACAATTGGCTCTGCGGTAGTGACTTTGATTTTGTCCTTATTCTGGCCTTCAACAAACATTATTCTCAGAAAATGGTGCGCTGACATTTACGTCTCCTTAATAACATACCAATTTGAGAAGACAAGTGAATAGAGTGTTTGGGTTTTTGGGTCCTCAAAATAATCGTCAGATTTTTCGAGAATATACTTTTTCACCTACTGTGATTGTTACCCTAATCTACTGCTCATCAAATTTCTACGAATAGATTATTTTCTGGCTAAAAATATCAGACATGCCATGATTACAGTTAGAAGAATAATTAATTTAAAGTTACTGCTTTAATCATTAACCATTATGTACAGCAATATTCACTTTTAACATCGTTAATTTAAAATTGTTTCATTGCACAAAAATTTCCATAAATTGTTAAATGTAAGCAAACAAAATGCATAATACAAAACACATATGCAAACCGAATTATATTTTATGAAGTCAAAGTTTAGTGAACATTTTTCACATCTATTTTTCCTTTAAATGGTTTATTTATCTCGAAGATTATTATTTTTTTTAAAAAGAGAAATATTTTGAAAAGTACTTCGTAAACTTCTGCTCAGATCAGTATTTTTCTAAATCAGCATTTTAGGTCTGATCAATACTGTTTCATATTTATATGAGGAAAGTAACAATAACAATATAATAAGAAGCAAACTCACACTAACATCAATGTATAAAAAATGATACTAACCATTTTATGGTTTTTTTAGCAATGAAAATTGCGTTGGTAATACTAAGTTTATTATTTCCCCTAATATTATCATAATTAACATCACTGTTCTTCTCATCATTTCTCTTAATTTTCTCATTACTATTATCAGAAAAAAATGAATGTTTATTCAGTAAAGCTTTCAGATAATTCTTATTTTGTGATTCCTTTAAATGAAATGGTTTTTTGATGCATTCTTTGCATTCGTATAGTGAGCAAACTTTATGGTAATCACTTGCCTTCGCGTCACGTGCTTTACCGATTACATTCTGCAATCAAATAATAATGTATTTTAGAACTTTGCGTTTTTCATTCAAGAATTAAAATTAAATAGAATTTTTAAACAATTCAAAACGTCAAATTTAAATTTTTGCTTCACATAAAATCAATAAGAAAAACTTTGAAGTGATATTTGTTAGGAAACAAAAAAAATAAACAACAAATATGATAACCATAATTCATTTATTGGGATAACTAAGCTTACTTATTCACTTAAACAGAAAAAATGGCACAAAAAAAGTACCTAGAATTTTTTCTTACCATTAGTCAAAAAGAAAACCTGAAATTTTGGATCAGAGGTTTCCATTGTTACTGCACCTGGCCATTTTGCAAATGCATCTTTTGAGTAATGCATAATACTACGATAGTTATAAGGAATACCATAAGTACTGCCAAGATTTGTTGATATTTTTTCAAATTGAGAATACATACCTAAGATGCATTACAAGCATTATTTTAATCTATCTATCTATCTATCTATCTATCTATCTAAGTTTTATAGATTTTTCACAGAAACCATCTATTTTTCTGGTTAAAAGCATTAAAAAAATTTGCTCACAAGAAATGATATTTTCAGAATGCAAAATCAATGATGTAGAAATTTGACTGACTTTTTTGAAAGTAAGTTTGTTCTATTTGGATATATCTTCAGTATTTTGAAATCAGAATTGTCAAACGTCAAATATAGATATAGATATTTTTTTATTTGAATTCAAAGAAACGAAATTACGAATAAATTTGTATTGCGATCAACTTATTGTACATGCCAAGTATGCTTGTTAGTGAGCAGTTACTTACTTGGCAAATTATAAAAGTTGACTGAGGTGGATATAACTTTTTTGTCTACAGTAAATGAAGAGAAAACTAGTACAAAAAGAAGATATCACAAAAATCTTTAATCTTAATAAATGAGTATGATCAAAAAAACAAGCATGAATAGATTAAATATAAACGAATTAGCATGAATCATTTGTACATTAAAGCAGTTTAAAGTAATTTCTAGTTACTATTTTGCAGTAATACCTCAAATAATACAAATGTTAGATACCTAACTTTTTTAAAATCCAAACAACCTGGTTGTATCATTTCATAATGAACTTTAATGTATTGATCTCGATCATGACGCATATGTTCATGCCATAAACCAACACTGTGAAGTAATTCATGCAAGACAATGTCATACTCAATACATGTTGCGACTTCGTTAGCTTCCAACATCACTACATTTCGTCCGGGAAAATGGCCCACAGTTGAGTAACATCTAAAGATTTCTGTGATATCAAAGTTCAATATAATTTGAAGATTTTTATTAGGTCAAAATACACATAATTAGAATTAAACGGACATTTTAGTACAATAATTGATAAATTTTGAATCAAACTAACCATGAAATTTATAAATTAAAGTTTAATCAATTTATGGACTCTTGACGAGATATGAACTCGAGATCAGTGGTCCTGGTTTACTTAATATTTTAGAAAATAGACACGAATTTTAATAATTTTCTCTAATATATTTTTGAATTAATCGCTCTTTTTGAAGTAGCACTTTCAATAGCATGAATTTTTTGTGTTTACAATTTTTGTGTAAAGGAAGTTCATAGCGACTATTTCCTGACTAGCGATAGTTCTATACTCGCAACACATTAAGTGTTAATATGTTTGTTAAGAACCAATTTTATCACTTTACCCTTCGCTGTATTTATTTTGCAAGTCAATGAATGATGACTGGTGTGTGCGTTTTTTGAAACGAATGCAAGTATTCTTCTCGATAGCTTTCATCGCAGCAAGAATGATTCGATGTTCTTCGCTGTCTAAAAAATACATCTTTGTTTGGTGGAAATTTAATTTTAGTTCTAACAATTAATAGGAATGGATCTAATTTTAAGTATTCAAATGCAAATTTATTGGTCTCAAAAACGCCATTGTTGCAAACAATTTTTCGATGCTTTCTCTAGCAATAGCTAAAAAATTCTGCTTAAAATTACTCAATATTTGATGTATGTATTTATTTTACAGTACTCTCCAAGTTTTTCTGTCTACGAATACTATCAAAAATTTTCTTGCAAAGCGAAAATATCTTAGTTACTCTCACCAAATGAACCTGTAATGATATAAGGTATCACATAATTGCCGGAAGTATCACGTATTTTGCTCCATCTTAGCGCCGATCCTTTCGGTAAAGCACTGTACATTCGTGATTTTGAACTGTAAACAAATATCACTTATTTTGTTTAATCTGAGAGTAGAGGTTTTAAACTGATTAAATTGCTTCATTTGAAATGTATTTTTGAATTGTAATGAATTTCAAAAAATTTTACAATTTTATAAATTTTTCTAAACAAAATTTTATTCATTTTGTTGTGTTTTTTACTTGATAGCAGTATAAATATGGACAAATATTGATATTTTGGAACACTTTTGTTTTCAGTGCAAAACCTCATGGATATTTAATCTATTTTTACGTCTACCAGTATTGCTTATCTAGCATCTCAAGACAAGTCCTCAAATTTTGGAGTTAGAAATTATGAATTAATTAATGGCAATGCAAAGCTTTTTTTTCAGTTCAAATTTTATTTGCTGCTGACTACACATTTATATATTTTAGTGCTGTAAAGCTATTCAGAAGTTCGAAAATGATATTTTTCTTAATGCCACTTTACTCTAAATTTTGATTTGTGATGCTTTTATCACAAATTTAGATCACAGTAAACAACAAGTTTAAAAGTAAACAACAGATAAACAAACAAAACATGACTAAATTGATGCGATATACTACTTCAAAGCAGATATTTTCATGACAACTTTTGTTTTTCTTGGCATGTTATTCTCGTACTCACATAAATAATAATAAAACCTTGAGTAATTTATTTCGGAAATAAAGTTGAATACGAATAAAAACTTATTTGAAATTTCATTTTAAAGAAAGATAAAATCGAATCAATAATAAAATAATTATAACATAAAACTAACGAAAGTTTTTGATCTAAAATGGATTTTTATTTACTTTAGATATAAAATAACGAAAATACTATCTTAGCAATTTGATCTTCGAAAAATTGCACTCAGAAAATAATTGCTTTCTGAAATATAATTTTGAAAAGGTCACAAATCATTAGAATGGAATTAATTATTTCATTTTGTTAGTAACCAATTTTGGTGAGTAAGCTGAAAACTAAGTCAGAAGTCATTGAGTTTGTTTGACTTCTTTAATGAAAATTAATAATCTACAATCTACAGAAGTGAAAATCTGCTGAAGCATTCTCACGAAAGCAGTACTTTTTCATTAATGTATTACATTTATTTTCATGATATGAGAATAAACTCCTTTATTTAATTACCAATATTTCAATTTTATCAATTATTATTAGTTTACTTCATCGATTAATTGATATTAAAATTGCTCATCTTTTTTAATAATAATATATTAATTACGATAATTATTATGTTCAAAAAGAAATTGATAACAACAGTGATAATTTATCATCACTAATATTTAAAGATTTTAAAAAGCCACTTACTTAAAGCGTCGTAGTTGCTTGATATCACCGCCATCGGTGTAAATATCAATTCTCTGACCCTCAAAAATTAATTTAATATATCGATGCTTTGCAATCACATCCAAAAATTTTTTCCATATATGGCAATTTTTAGTAACACATCACTAGAAGAACTCTTAAAAATTCTCATCTATTATTATTAATGCATAGGTGCATAACTTTTATTTCTCATAGAACTATATGATTTTGAGAACTTTAAAAGTTTAGAGTGATGGCTGTTAAAACCCTAACATATCATAAGTGATAAATAATTAAACTTAATATTCACAGACTTTTTAAAAAGAATTTTATATTTACAAGCTTTTTTCTTTTTTTTTGAGGAGTTTTAGGTTTTAGCGGAATCAGAAACTACTTGTCTTCAAGTTAAAAAGAGGTATGAACAGATTAGGAGAGACAACGTTTACTCGTTTCGCAGTGCAAATTGTGCTGGAATAAAGCAGCAGTAAGTATAAGCAAAGAGCACTGTAGTGGCTAGAGAAGATCTGCAAAGCCATATTTGTTGGATTGTATCGAATCAGATTTAAGTATTCTGTCCGAGCAAATGTGCGTAATAAAAATTTGTTTTGTTATATTGGCTAAATATACAAATTTATGGCAATTTTTTCGTTTGTTTGATTTGTTTCCAAAACACAAACATACATATTTGATTACATAAGTTGAATAATGTCAAATGCAAATTATAAATTCTTCTCGCCATAATACAAACAGATAGAAGCACATAGAAGTATAAGCAATACTTACTGTAACTATAATATCTTCAAAATCCACGCAGAATCAAACTTTGTTTGATCTTGATCTTGCCCTTGATCTTGACTAGTCAGAGCAAACTTTTGCCAAGCAAAACTAAGTTAATTAAATCATACCATGCTAGTTATGATAAAGAATATAAAAGTCATTTTATTGGGACAATAATGGAAAAATGTTAAATACACATTTTATGGGATTAGAGAATAGGAAAATACTTTGTAATAGTAGAATTAAAAATATTACAATAACTAGCGTAAAAAAGACAAGAAAATTATGCAGTAACTAATATTTCATTTTTTACGATTTTAAGCATAACACAATTTTCATTTTTTACTTTGACTCTGATCGCCACAATTTGATTTTTATTAGCACATTTAATTTTTTATAATTCTCTAGACAATGATTTCATTTAATTTCCAGGAAATGATCAAAAATGTGAAAAGTTCAGTCTGAATTATATTACGCCATTTCAAAGATACCAAATTTAATTTCGCTTAAGTATTTAATCATTTTGAATTCATTTAATTATTTTTTCTCCACACAGCAAAAAAATTGTAATTATTTGAAACGTCCAATAACAGCTGCTTATTTTTCAAAAATTATTACGTAGCTAGAGGGAAAAGTCAAAGCCTATTCAAACAAAGACAATAAATAATCTAAAATTGAATTAATATTTGCAAAAATTTTGTTTTCATTATTTTTCCTTGATACTTATTATTTTCAGTTTAAAACAGTCATCAGTCTTTAAATTCAGATTATTTTACCTTCATAATTCTAAAGCGTCCAAAAATTGATAATTAGTGATATTTTTTTAACTGCAAGATATTGCAGCAGTATTTTTCAGATTATTCCATCGTGCTAATTTATATATGTGTATTGCTAAAAAATCTTTGTAGGCTTAATTTGTCGAAAATGGATTATCATTTGAATTAATGCCTTTCAAAGATCTAAAATTTGATATTTTGTGCTTCGAAATGTTCCTTTCACAAAATTAATAAGATATAAAAGGTCAAAAAACTATAAATAGTTGTAGTGATATTGACGCACTTCATTAGGTTGTTCTGATAAAGATCAGAAAAGTACTATATTGCTATATGCAAATGAGATACAATTAGCTTTGGATAATAAACAAAGTAATAGTCATTTGCAACAAATAAACAGATTTCTAAAGTAATATGACAGAATTATCGAATTACTAACCAAAAATTGGCGTAGTCAGAAATTTTGAAATGAACAAATCTGAAAGAGAAATTTAAATTTCAATTACGATAATTGTACAGTTTTTGAATTGAAAAGTTCGAACGCTGTGCTAATCTCATCAGTTTTTCAACAAAATGACACGAAATAAATGTACATTTTGTGCTTTGCAGAATAGATGCCATTACTGAGATCACTCGTTATGTTTAATTATCAAAGCATAATTTTGGTCTTATAAAAAGTATTGTGAATATAAACTCTGAAATCTGGTTTTTGTATTACTTTAAAGAGACAAAGACGTAATAAATATCAGAGAAATTTTTGAGATACTTGACCTACAAAAAGGAACGTCAAATGTTCCTTTTTGCAGGTGAAGTGCTCATTTTTACAGTCAAACTTCAGCTTCGAAGTAATTTCTTGACCTTTTATTAACTTCATCCAGTTCTTAAAAAATGAGTCAAACATATAACTTCTATGTGATACTTGATTGACTCCGGTTTTCTTTCTGAAAAATCAAAAAATTTAGTATTAATAAGATATGAAGTTTCTAGATTTTGGCCAGCAGAACTAGAACGCATGAATTTTTTTCAACCGTTCATCTTGTGTCAAATTAGTCTTAGTTATAATTTAAGCAGCTCTTGATGATTAGCTCTGATAACTTTTTATCAATTTTCTGTCTATAACAGAAGTTGGATTCCCAAAACTTTCATGCTACTGCTCAGTTAAATTATTACAGATCGAACTATCGAATTACATCGTATCACACATTGTAAAATGAATGAATTGTTAGCGTTATACTGTTCATGAATAATGAAAGTAGACAATTTTCAGTTCAGAATAAATTTTGCTGATAAAATACAAATTTAAGTATTTTATCTTAAATTAACATTTTTATGCTTTTTTTCAAATGAAAATTACGCTAACAAAGTAACAAATGACGCTAATGTATTATTTACACTTAAAAGGCATTACAGTATATATTACAATCTTGACTTTTTACCATCATTGTCCACTTTTGTAGCTAGTATAATTTTTAAGTTTCATATTTGTGTTTGTGAAAGGTTTTATTAAAATAGCCCAAATTTTTAATGAGAAAAATTGACTTTGTACAAGTTCTGGCTGAAAAAAGAACTGTTTAAACAAGCGAGCAGAAATACATAAATATTGAAAATTGAAAAGCTGTTAGTGAAATAAAATTTTGAAATTTCATCGATTAATTTGAATTTATTTTGTAAATATTAACTTTTCTTTGAATGAATAAAATGTTTGCTAAGCTGTTTTTCATGGCAACTATTTGACAACAACTGTTCGTTCATTTAACATTACAACCTTCACAAATGTTGATCAAGTCAGATGGACATTTTTTGTCAAATTTCAGAGACAAAATCTTCAAGTTGTAACTTTATAGTACTTGTCATTTAATATTTTTACTGTTTTGAATGTTCCGAATAAATACACAAAGTGATATATGCTTATTGGAACTTTCAATTAACTAATAATTTGTACAAAATCCATCAACTCAGATAATTCTTTTGGTTCTCCAAAATTTTTCTTTTGATAAATCGAAAATTAAAATTAATTTATTCAAAAACATGTTAAACTTAATTATTTTAGATATCACTCAAAGTTATACTTATTTTATACTATTATCATTCACATCTGAGCAATTCTTAAGTGCAAAAAACCTATTTAATCTTTTATCATTTTACAGAAATCAAGCTTTTAACACAGATTCTAAAATGTTTCGATAAATTCTTGATAAAAAGAAATTAATAAATTCTCAGTTTTTTTCTGAAAATTTCAGAATTTATTTCTTTATCTTGCAAATTTGATTCCTAATGTAGAGAAGCTTAATCATGCAGTAGCCAGAAAAAATATTTTTTCCGATTTATCATGCTTTGCTTTAATTTTAAGATCTTTTAGAATCAGAAGTAATTATTTTACTTCAAATACAATTTAAGAGAGTTAACTAATTTCTACGAAAGGCAATTTGAAACAAATAATTCGCAGCAGTCTGATTATTCAGTTTTCGCAATTAGTGACCAGTTCATATTGTTAGCTTTTTCTGACCAACACCTTTACTGCCATAACATAAAACATTATGAAAATTGGGATTATAAATAGTCGGTATTTGCTCAGAGAATTATGTAATTAAATAAGGATTTCTGAAGCTTAGTAATGTTGTAAAAAATTTCCAGAGATATATAATATTATAATTACTCGAAAGGAATTATCGTAGTACTGCACATTATTATGACTCTTTCTTCATCTTACATAAAATTGTTTTAGAAATATGTATAAGAATTCTCGATTTATGAGAAGTGAAAATTTTATATGCTTCAAAAAGGAATCAAAAAATGCGTTAAGAAATAAATAAAAACACAAACGTTTTATCAGCATCAGCATAAATACTTCACAATTAGCCTTGACAGAATTAATTTTTAAGCAAAGTGGTGGTGGTGCACTTCTGTAATACAATTCAGGAATTCATATCATTGGATTAAGGATTCACAAAGATCTGCCAAGGCTGACTGTGAACTATTTATGCTAATGAAAGTTTTCATTAAGAATAACATTATGTTATCTCGCAAAACTGTGCGCCAAAGCATACTTCAATGATGCACTTGAAAATGCGATTTTTAATTAATCAAATTTTTGATAACTGGATTGTAACTATTTTGAAAAATCTGAAAAACCCAACTAACTGAAATTGTTTTGATACTTTTACAAATTTTAATTTGTATTTTAACACATGCAAATAATTTTCGTCCTGGCGGTGCTGAATTTTTAAAATTTAAAGCAGTTTGAACTTATTTGAATAATTAATTGCATTGAAGAAACTTCCATCATTCATTTACATTCAAAGTCAAACATTTTAATCCATCATATTTGTCATCCTAAATTTCTGCAATGTATTTTAAAAAAAATATTTATCATTCATTGAGCAAAAGCATTTTTCTCGAATTAGTTTCAGTTTCATTCAGACAAAAAAGTATTTGATTTTTCACACATAAACTTCAAAAAATTTGATCTCTTTGTTTGAAATAAATTAACATATAATATAAGAATTAAATATTTCGAAGTGCTGAGAAATATTTTTAGCAAATTTTTGCATTAATTATGCTATGGTTTATATCGTTTTTAGCAGTTAGGATGCGAGCTGTTTTATAGCCAGTGAAATTTGATATTCGATGCGTTCAATTTTGCGCAACACTGACGTTTTCGAGAGTTTCTACGATCACTTATAGTATGCTTCACTCTTCAAAAATGCTTAGTATTTATGATATAATAAGCTGTTCATTTATTTTTTTATTCAATCCACAAGCTTTTCTTAAAAATTTGAAATGATTTTTCATATGTATTAAAAATTTATGCAGAATTTATTTAGTTATAACCAAATATTGAATATTATTTTTTAAATGATTTTTTTTAAAATTTGAATTTGTGCAAGAAGTTTGCTGAACGCAGTCAGCTCTTTCTTCTATCTTACGGTGGTATAAAGCCTTCACAGATTGCTCAAATGTGATTTTAATTCAGGTACTACATCCAATTACTGATTTCACCAGCTTCATTTTCAAATGTGAGTAATTTAAGATATTTGAAGAGTAGAAAATAGTAAATGTTTCTGGTAAATGGTTTTAAAAAAATCAGTATTTTTTAAATTTTAATTTCATTTAAAGATATGATAGTACTTAATACTTTTAAATATGTTTTGATCACTGAAAGACAGAAACAATTTTAACCTGTGATTCTTAAAATAATTTGACTGAGTGGAAATGAGCAATTAGAATGCTCGATAATTCTTTTTCCGAATCTGAGTAATATTTAGTTATATGAAGGGAAGTTTATCATAAACTGAAATTACTATGATGCAGCAGGAAATGAAGAGAATACCACATTATGTATGTTTATATTTGTAATAAATATCCGCTATTCGTTGTATGTATGGATCAAATTCATGTAAATAAAATTGAAGATAGTAAAAATAACTGAATAGAAGAAACCAATTTTTGAATAATTTTTACAGCTTCTGGCAACACATTTAGTTCTTCAAAGCAAAGCAGTATTTTACAGTTTACGGAAAACCAAGTACGTTACTGTCATCTTACGAAGTTGTCACTGTTAATAATTACTGATCACGACTTTGACACTGATTTCCATAATTGTGATTAGGAACAAATTATTCCAAAATATATAAAATGTTTATTTCGTATAAACAGACTGAGACTAGTTGTTACTTTAGAGATTAGGCAAAGAACGAAGATTGGATTTGTTAGAAAGCATATAGTATAAGAGAATTAATGATAACATATGACTTAAGAAGAATAACATTTTGAATTTTACAAAGTGGAAAATTCTGAAACAAAGCAATTAGTGGAATACATTTTTAATAAAATGAAGTTGAAGAAATAGTGCTGATTCAATTTTAAAATGCTAGATCATACTGGTACGATCAAAGATTCAAAAAGTGATTACACAAAACATATTTTGCACAAATTGCCTTAATATCAAAAATAATCACTGCTAAATAATTAAAAAAAGCTTCTTATGATTGTAAGGACTCACTTAAAATGATTTATAATTTTTTATTCGAAAAACTGAAACATCGATGCAATGAAGAATTTGATAAGCTATGACCCGATAAAATGAATAATGATTTTATGTTACGTAAAATTGAAACAAATTACTTTGTGCTAAAGTAATTTTTAGCAACTAATTGCAATCATAAAATTTTTGAGAAGATACCAGATTCACAACATTGTCGATACTATAGAGAACTTTACATGTTGCTTTTTTGATCTGCCACTGGTAAGACTTTTGATAAGTAACAACCGCAAAAAACTTATTAGATGATACAAGTTTCCTTCATGCAATTACTTCACGTCAAAACGCAAATCTTTAAATTCTTTGGCAGTAAATGTTATAACAGTATCATCAAGTTCATAACTAACCTACTCTAAATGGTAATTCAGATAAACAACATAGAATTCATGAATTAGAAGTACCGTACGACGGAGGCAATGGTAAGTTACCATACTGATTGTACAGCAGTGAAGAAGCATTAAACTGTTGCATATGTAATTGTTGTTCTTCTTCAATGAACACTCCTGCATCAGCAGGAGGACAAGGTGCTACCATAACACTGTTGCAGTTACTTTCCAAGTAGCCTGTTGATTGGGGTGTGCTTATTTGCGTGTTATCATAAGTATAGTAATTGCTTGTTGACGTATAACAGTTTGGCCATTGATTTGTGGTTTCATAATAAGGCCAAAACTGGTTGGCAGAATATGATGAAGGCAAATAATTTTGTTGGTGAGATACGATATGTGCTTCATTTGCAGCAAACATATTACTGTTGTTTGTTATCGTATTTCCTTCAACATTTGCAGTCCCAATCTATAATTTCTGCTTGATTTTAAAATAATTCACTAAATATGTATTTTTATCTTATAGATTTCACAAAGGTGTCAATTTTAAAGATGAAAAAAGTATTAATTTTTGGTTTTTACAAACACAATGAGGGACTTTGCTATAAAAAATTTTCTTCAAAACTTTGAAAAATTTTTGTCAGCATTTGACATAACAAACCTGCTCATTACTGTATTCATAATTTCGCACTCGTGCTTTGTAACCACGTGGTCGTCTTCGATATGAGCCTTCTTCAAATAAGAATTCACAATTTTGATCAATCGTCCATTGGTGACCTTTCCCACTACGACCTCCAGAACTTTTTGGTAATTTAATAAAGCATTCATTTAATGATAAATTATGCCTAATTGAATTTTTCCAACCGTTATATTCACCTGAAAAATTAATCTGGTTAAACTCAAAACAATTATCAATCATCACATTAAAACTTATTAAAAATATCATTTTCAAGAAATAGCACTCAAATTTAAAGATATAACACAATAAGTAAAATAATATACTAGAGCACAACAATTATTCAAGGCTATTTCCTTCATATCTGAAATGTTTCCGTTAATGTGGAAGATGCTTTCCTTCTTTTTATATGTACAATAACCCTTCGCTTTAAAATGCATCAAATCAGAGAACATTGGTGAAGTGCAGTTTGCTTAGTTTACATTAATAATATCATTCTGCCGTAGCAGGATTTGGAATAAAAAAATTTCAACAACAACCTGATACTGTAACTGAAAACAATCACAAACTTTACCTCTAAAAAAATCAAAATTGCTCTGCAAAAAAGTATAAATTTCTGTTAATGTTGCTTTCCGGTCCGGTTTTGCGTGTATTGCCATAGCTATTAGTGCAATATATGAATAAGGTGGTTTTTCTTGACGTTTACCACTTCTTCGTCGAGAATTTGCGCTTTTTTCGTCTTCATCTTCACTTTTAAATTGCAGTGGTCCAAGAGCATTTGCAATGGAATCACTATGAAATATGCTTGTTCAGACAGCTATAGCATACATTTTACCGTATCAAAAAATTAATCATAAAAACTTCGTGAATCAGTTTGTAACTAACTGTATGGTCAACAGTTTGAATAACAATAAAATCTCCATTTTGCAACATTTAATCTAAATAATTCTAAAGCACTAAAAGACATGCAAAATGTTTTGTTCTATAACTAATGTCTATTTGGTAGCAAATTTAGTCATTATTACATACAATACTCTTTTACAACATAAATTTCAGTCAAAGTTGACATATTTTGAAATGAAATACATTTGTATTCTTTTTTATGAATAATTTTACTCGTTTTGTATCATTTAAATTGTATCAAGAACAGCCGACTTTGAAAATTAGATAACATTGTCAGATGCAAATTATTGTCATGTATCACTATAAGATTTTCAATACATTTTCATAATGTAAAATATCCTAAACAAGATTTAAAAAGTGTAAGAAATCAAACTATCATTAAATCTAGAAGGATAAGAATTATAAAACTTCTCTATCTACAAAATTATGCTTATAATTCAATAAAGTGTTGCGATACTTTTAATTTTAATACCTCTAAAGTAGTATAATTTTATTACTCAACTATTGATTGCTTCTTATGAATTTAATTTCATATGCAAGCTAAAGTTATGATTTATAAGTATAAAATTATATTGAATTAAAATCAAATAATCTCAATCAGTTTCACCGCCTTTTTTTAAAATAAGTTAATGTGCAAGGATTGAAAAGCTCTGAAAAGAAGAAATTTTAAATAGTTTATCAAAAGTAAACATTTGCAAGTTAAAGATGAGTAAATCGTATGGAGAAGTAATTTCTAACAAGCAAAAGTAAAAGGTATGAAAGTTTTATTGCTTACGAATTATTAATTTACATTCACGTCAGCGTCAAAAATAAATATTTATTTGTAAATAAACAAATTCTTGGCTTGATATGACGCTTACTTGGAAGATTGTTGCAGTTGCGGTTGAGCAAGCAGAGGAGCACTGATCGAGGATTGTGTGCATTCATTTTCTAATTTGAGCTCCATTTTAGGTAAGTAAGTGGTTGAATTCTGCGTCATCCTCAAATACTCAATTTAAAATTTTCAGAAATAACAGATATGTTAATTATAAGTAATACTAATATAATGATGGTAATTAAATGAGCAATTGACATACATGAAGCAGTAGGACAGCGATAGGATATGAATGGTTGTGGTAAAGGGGAGTGGGTAGTTGATGGTCGCTCGATAGATGGTAGTTTACGTGAAGTGTTGTTAGCTGTAACGAAAAACTAATCTCGTCAGAATTATCGTAGCTTAGTGAATTTCCAATAATGCAAACCAGAAATTTTAACTTTTTACTGAATAAAATGTAAACTATAAAAGACAAAAAAACGAACAATTTTTGCTCCAACGAGCACTAAACGCTGTAGCAAAATTTAGCTGCTTCTACCGTACTCCAAAGAAATTGTTAAAATTTAGGGCTCTAAAACTTCCTCAGTCAATTTGCTATTTCTTACATACTTCAAATAAGAAGTAAATTACCGTATGTTTGTTTTCTTAAAATGGTCTTATTTTGTTTCTGCGGCTTTTTTCTGCAATACATTACACATGACCGCTTTTTCTTCCTATGAACAAATTGAATTATTAAATAATTCAATCCATTCAGAACTAATTTTTCATCATATATGCTCGCTTTTACTTTACATTGTAAGTATATATTTATGCAATGCTTATGAGTATTTTCTTTTTATACAATTATATTTGCTTGATAAACAATTGCATTAATGTAATCAAAAATACTTTTCAATGATTTTTATTTAATTGTACTGTATTAATTGTTTACTGTATTCATAAATAAGTCTTTTTTGAATCTGCAAATCATTAAAGCATTATTTATTTCACTTCGTGTTGCATTGCATTTATTAATCCTGTCTGCTTTAATTTTTTTCATTTGGTTCCCAAGTCAGTACTGTTTTAAATAATAAAATTTTTGCTCGAGCTTTTATCAAATTAATAAAATTAAAGTTCTTTTTCTTATATTTGCAGTTTCTCTTTAAAATTCAAATCTCTTAATTGCTATCTAAATCACTACTACAAATCACTCCTTTATGTTCTTTCTTTAAATTCTAATTAAATAACAAAATGAAATGAAAACAAAAGGTCAAGGTTTAAGTGCTAAAAGTATTGTAATAGTAGACAAAATGACTGGTGCAATGCATACGGAAATTTGAAACCAATAATGGAAATGATAGGACGATCTGTTGTTGGCCCATAATGCCTAAGGATTAAGTGTCATCGATGGTCATCAGCTATTCCGTTACCAATTTCGAAGCTAATACAAGCTAATGCTATTTTCTCTGGAAAATATTATCACGATTTTGTATCCTGATATCCGAGCTGGTGGAACCATGCAGATAAAGATCGTAATACACATTTTTCAAGCATTTAAGTGGAAAAGTAATTATGGTAACAGCATGATTTATCTGATTAGAAAACCGCAAGTTTTACTAAATCAGATAAAAAACCAAATGAAAATAATCAATGCCTTTTTTCCAATAATATTTGCAGCCTTGATCACAATCTTGAAGTTTTATTTGTTTATTTAAGATGCTTCTGTTCACTGCCATATTTTGTGATTGCTAAATTCATAATTTTATTTTTGTATAAACAATGGAAAAAAGCAGAAAATTTACTTTTTTTACTCATGAATTGAAATCTCAATCAAATTTAAATTTTTGATTTCACTATTTTGAATCCTGACTGTACTAAAGATTCTAATAATAATAATAATAATAATAATAATAATAATAATAATAATAATA